CTTGACTTTAATATGTACGATAAAATACTGCTGGAACAATGATCAAAATCATTTTTTGAACCACCAATTCTAAATTCTACGTGAAGAAATTCATGCTATAAATAGTTCTCAAAAAAAGAAAACAAAAATACACAAAGATATATAGGAAAGGGTACTAGAAACAATTTAAACACCAATTAATAAGGGAGTAGTTAAATAAATTATAATATCGGTACAACCAAATATTCTTTATTCAAAACCACAACAGCAACATTTGCAAATACTTACACAATGTTTACCAGGCACTAAGTGTTTTACATATATCAACTACTTAATCCTCACATCAACTGTATGAGGTAGATAATTATCATCCCTATTTTATAGATAAGGAAATGGAAGAACAAAAACACTAGATACCTTGCCCCAGGTCACACAAACTAACGTAGTCTGGCTCTAGAATCCTTGTTTTTAATCACTACACTGGTCTCTCTTAATGCAGACCTGTATGTACTGACAAGGAAAGTTGTCCAAGGTATATTGTTAAGATGGGGGAAGAAAACAAGCCATAGAACAATATGTAAGATCCATTTTATTTAACCAGACAGGTAGGGAGTATATGTTTATACACATTGGAAAATTTCCCCTATTTCTAGAGAGCAGAACTGGGTATTAAAGTGACTAGGAAGGGAGAGTTTTATTTTTACTTTATATAGTTCAAATGTATTGCCTTATATATTTCATAATTTAAAAAAACTAGTTAATAAAAAGAGAATCATTTCACCCCTTGGGTCCCCAAGTAACTTGGGACAAAACTCTTTCCCATCCCCTACCTATCCGGTGTACCCACACCTGCAGGCATTCCTTCTAACCTAGGCATTTCACCTTTTCTCTGACCTGCTCAGTATTCAGCAGTTATACACTGAACATCTTCTATGTACCAAGTATTCTGCTAAATGCTGGGATACAGATGATGAAAATGACATAATCCCTAATCTTAGGAACTTAAAGTTTTAATAACACAAGTGGCCTGGACTGAATACAATTGTTTTCTCACCTTTTCTTCTCCAGAGTTAAAATAAGGGATTCATTTATAGGAACAATAAACATTTTCAATCTCTCTCCTAAAATCCTGTCTGGTATATCCAACTGCCTACTGAACACCACCTGGACATTTCAGAAGCATCTCAAACTCACAAGTCCAAAACTGAATCCCTGATTTTCTTCCTCTAAATCCACGCCTCCCACAGCTTTCCCCATCTTAGTAAATGAGAACTCCATTCTTTCAGTTCTGTGAGCCAAAAACCTTGCAGGCGTGTAAAGCAGAATTATGTCAGTTCTATCTTCAAAATAGATTCAGAATCGAATGACCATTTCTCACCGCCTCTACCACTAACGCTTTGTGCAAACCACAATTATTTTCACCTGGATTGCTGCAAAAACTTCCAACTGGTCTCCTGCTTTTGCCTTTGCCCTCCTAGACTACATTTTCCACAAAGCAGCCAGAGTGATCCCTATCTTGTCACTCCTCTGCTCAATATCCCTCAATCACTTCCTATCTACTCAGAGTAAAAATCAAGTTCTTGGGGCACTTGAGTGGTTCAGTTGGTTAAGGGTCTGACTCTTGATTTCGGTCACGATCTCAGGGTTGTGAGATCAAGCCCCTCACTGAGCTCCACACTGGGCATGGAGCCCACTTGAGATTCTCTCTCTCTCCCTCTGCCCCCTAACCCTGCATGTGCTCTCAAAAAAAATAATAATAATAAAATAAAATCAAGTTCCTAAAGTGGCCTATTAAGACCACAGAGGATCTTCCCACCTGCCTCCCCACCTCCAAGTTCTTCCCATTCTGCTCCAGCCACAGTAACCTTGCTGTTTCTTATACCCCAAGTACACTCTTGGCTTCAAGCCTATTTGTTCTCTCTTAATGAGATACTCTTCCCTCACATAGCCACAATGCTCCCCCTCTCACTTCCTTCAGGTCACTGGCCCAACGTCCCTTTCTTAATGAGGTGACCACTCTAGTTAAATTAGTAACCCCCACCTCACCCTTCTGGCATCCCCTTTACCCGTCTTTTATTTAACTTTTCGCCATACAATTTATCTCCATCCAACACATATTTACTTATGTATTTGCTTATTGTCTGTTCTGCCTCTCAATGTAAGCTCCATGTGGACAAAGTCTTCATCAGTTTTGTTCACTGCCATGTTAGAACCAAGCCTGTATCCCAGTAAGCACCAATATATTTCTGACTAAATGAATTAAAAATTGAAAGAAAATGAGTCCAAGAGACTTACGTGAATCTTGAATAGTCCTATAAGCAGAAGGAAGCTAAAGCCACAGATCATAAGTATTCAAGCATTCATGTTAGAGAAAACAATTGTTCAACACTTATTTTTCAGGAATAGCTATTTACACATATAAAAGTAATGTGTGTATGATATATGCACAACTTCTAATTCACAGAGGTAACAAATACCACTAATATGTAAAAGATAGCATACTGCCCATCATACAGTTCACCTGACTGCTCAAGCTAAAGCCAAAAAATTCACCTAAATTCTTCTCTCCCTAACCCAGAATCTATCACAGGTTCCACTGAGTCTACCCTCAAAGCACAGCGGCTAGAAGACCAGAAAGCCATGCCATCATCACCTCTTGTCTAGACTATTCGCTGCTTGTTTACTCTTCCTTGCCTGTTGATAATCCATTCCCTATACAACAGCCAGAGTGATCTTTTTAAAACGTAAATCAGCTCTTGCCCCTGCTTTAGATATCCACTGGTTTCCCAATGCACTTGAATAAAAGCCAAAGTCCTTTCCCTGCAGTACAAGACTCCTGCCTACTTCCCCAAGAGCCTCATATACCACGACTGCCCTCGCCTACTACACTCCAACCAAATGGTCTCCTTTCTTGTTCATCAGATACTGTTTTGCCTTTGATTTCTTACACTGATCCCTGTACCTAGAATGCGCTTCCCAATTACATCCAAATGGTTATTTCTTTTGTCATTTAAAACTCCTCTTAAATGTCACCTTTTTGGAGCAGGCTCCCTTGACTACCTCATCTAAAGTAGTCCCCCAGTCGTTCTTTTTTAAAGATCGCTGTGTTAGAAACCAGTGCGGTCCCTATTATTAGTCCATATTATCGTGCTTTTTGGTTTTCTGTTTGACTCGTCACAAGAATGTAAGTTTCAAAGGGGCAAGCTCTCTTCCTGTCTTGTTCACCAAAGAGAGAGTCTAGTACACAATACATGCTCAATAAATTTGCAGAACATTAAATGAACCTAGAGTCCCTGTTTGCACTATAATTTAATATCTTTGTGTTATAAAAATCTGCTTATAATCAAACAGTAGACACCTGAAATCAACAGTCAAAAAGAGATCCTCCCCCACCAAGTTTAAATCATCCAGGACAAATTCAATATCATGTAGCCATTCAAAGTCAGCTGTGGCCAACAATAAAGGAAAAAAGAGTTTGGTAAAGATCATCTAAATCTAGACATACGGCTTTCAAAGAGATTATAAAGATTTTCTCAGTATTAAAGTAAAATTAGTTGAAATATCAGCTTTAAGGAGTATAAGAGAAAGTGAGCAGATGGCAGAAGAAAAACTGAAGTGTGTTCTAGAGAAGGAAGAGAAAGAGCAGGAAGAAGCTGCGAATAGCAGAGGCAAACTAGAACCGAAAATTTGCCACAGATAATCTCCAACATGAATAATCCACACTGGGTAATAGAATATTGACTATAATTACATTCATCCTACTGACCTTGTTCTAAATTATTATGGATTATTACTACGCAAGTTATTTTGTTCCACACCAGAGGTGGCTGTATTTCGCTATCAGATGACATGACCTCTAATTCAATAATGTCTGTAATGCACTGGTATCCTCAGATAAAAGCTGTCTATAATGTCTGAACAAAGGTGAATTAGTTATCCGATTCACACACGCAATTAACTCTCTTAATACCTGAGAGACCATGGAGCCCCTTCTGAATTTCCTATTAAATACTACATATGGAGGTCTTCCCTCCATCTGTAGTTATCTTGTGCTGTACTTCATAATAAACAATATTAATAGTTTATTGCCCCCGTCAAAAATCTTGCATTAGTTATCATAAAAGACCTCATTCCACAAAGCAATGACTCATTTTCCTGGGAAAATGCATTAAATTCAAATGTCAAGCCTATTAGTAAAACACAACAGTTCTTTATTCTCAGTAATGTAAAAATAAAAATAACACCTTCATGAAACATGGAAAATAATTTAAATTTTTTTTTTTACTATTTTAAAAACACCTCTTCAGGCCAAAAGGTAGTTATTTATTATGTGGATTTATATTTATATGCTGTATTCAGTCATTCTAAATAAAAGACTATTTATTTAAATTCAGGTGTTAAAGGGCGAAAACAAATCAAAACATAGTATTTTTTTGCCACCTGTTCCCACTACCATGAGCTGAAATTTCATAAATAGTCTGAAGGCAGAGCACCAGGCCTCTGCTTTGTACCCATATGTGATGCCAATGGCTGTATTCGTAAAAACCCGGATCAGAATAACTAGGTAATGTCAGATGTTGAGCAAATACCCATGCATTCTAAAAAAGGAGGTAATTAATTAATTCTTCAGGGGATGCTTTTTACTTTAGTCATCTAACACTAATGTATCCTTTTAGCAGAGAACAGAGAACAAAATAAAATGCCTAAGACCAAACCTAGCTCTTTTAGCACACATTCACCTTAATGTGCTCATCATCACAGTAACTCAATTCGAGGAGAAAGTAAGTAGTTATGTATATCTAAGAATGTTACTGTAGTTCAAATGAAATCTGCTGTTCACCTGGGTGTTCATTTTCCCTCACAACTCAGAGAGTGGAGGAATGAGGAAAACAGTTTCTTACATGTGTTTCGTATGTTTTATCTGCCCACGCGATGCCGGACGTAAAAAGGGCATTATAGACACTGAAAAGCTAAGCAGATGACATTCTTTGCTCTGTAAACAATTTAAACCACAAACTAACCTTCTGCGTGCTGCAGCACAAGAAATACGGACTCCTCAGAAATGATGTACTTGTGCAGACACACCATGTTGGGCACACAGCGGGGGATGATGGTCTTTCTGTTCCTGCTGTATTCACTGCTTTTCCTTAGACCCTGACAGAGAACAAAAAGGTCAGTTGTACCCTCAGTTGCCTTTGGAGCCTGCTGTGCTCTGTGTTTATCAACCAAACTAATCTATCCGAGTTACTCTGGGCTTCAGAGAAACCACTCATCTGCTGCTCTATGCCCCTCAGTCCCTGGAGGCTCTGCTGATGGCATCTGGCGTGAATCCAGAGAACGGAAGATGCCACAAAGCTGCCATTAAAATCAATTACGTGGGTCAGTGTTTTTATTAGAGATGCTCTCAAACTAAGTCATCAGGATGACACGCAGTTATTTCTCTATGACCTTTTCTTAAGTTTTATTTTACATATATATATATATCTTTACAGCAGTAGACACTGAGACCATTCAAATTTCTGAGACACAAAAGGTATTCCTAGATTAAACAGGAGATTTGAAAAATTTATGCCAAAAAAGTATAAAGACTACTTTAAGTCTTCTCCAAAGAAACAAGGTATCTGTAGTGTCTGGTGTCAAAGCCCTATTGAAAAATCCGGAGAAATGCCAGTGATAAAGTATATGCAGAAAGAAATTCATTTCAGTTATATGTCAATGTGACCTATTGCCATGCTGTAAATAAAAGAAAAAATATCTGGGGCGCCTGGGTGGCTCAGTTGGTTAGGCGACTGCCTTCGGCTCAGGTCATGATCCTGGAGTCCTGGGATCGAGTCCCGCATCGGGCTCCCTGCTCGGCAGGGAGTCTGCTTCTCCCTCTGACCCTCCTCCCTCTCATGCTCTCTGTCTCTCATTCTTTCTGTCTCAAATAAATAAATAAAATCTTTAAAAAAAAAAAAGAAAGAAAAAATATCTGAAAAAGAAATATAAAATTAATCTGAAATTGGGTGCCTGGGTGGCTCAGTTGGTTAAGCGACTGCCTTCGGCTCAGGTCATGATCCTGGAGTCCCGGGATCGAGTCCCACATCGGGCTCCCTGCTTGGCAGGGAGTCTGCTTCTCCCTCTGACCCTCCTCCCTCTCATGTTCTCTGTCTCTCATTCTCTCTCTCTCAAATAAATAAATAAAAACTTAAAAAAAAAAATTAATCTGAAATTAATTATTTCTAGATGCTATGGAAATTATTAAATTAGGATATTTTAGAATATGTACCGTCACAATCCATTTCAATTTTGAAATTACAAAATCGAGGGGTTTTTCTTTCCTTGTTCATTTAGTTAGAAATTGAGTTATATAAAGAAACAGAATTGAATTTAGATTAAAAAAAAAAAAAAAGAAAGAAAGAAAAAAAAATAGGACCAGGGATGTAGATAACACTTTCCCAAATACCTGAAACAGAGACTTAAAGGCAAAATTTCAGCTCTTTAGGGCTATAATCATAATCAAAGGTACAATTGTGTGCAATCTTCACAAATTATACAAAATGTATTAGAGATGTGTTTAAGGTACACACTATATATTTAAATAGCAGGAAATGAGTCTTCAACCTACCCAAACTATCACCTCCATACTCTATAACCTAAAACTCTTTTTAAATGTATGCTATAACGTATTTATAAACTATGATAAAGAACAGAAAGTAAAATATAGATCATCACAAACATAACAGAACATCCAAACACCCAGAAAACGTACTAAGTATTTTTTTCTTTCAGAAACATAATTTGAAAATAAATGCCTAAAAAATTCATTAAACATACAAATTCTACTTACTTTTAAAATAAATGTCTGTTCTGTCCTTGTGTCCATTACAAGTAAAACCTACATAAAAGACATGAGTAATAATTTATTCACAGTACAATGAAACATTGACTTGTAAGTTTTTGAAACTATACCTTAACGGTTTGTGGGTAAATGCTGAAACTCACTCCACCAAAATTGTTAATTTCTGAATAGGTTTTTGTTTTTTAAGCCACCAAATCACAGGATTAAAACAGTCTTATCTAAAGTAGGTTTTATTATAGTTTCCTTTTCTAAAAATTCCATATTTTAGAAACATTTCTATGTTCTCCTAGATTTGTTTTAAAATATATTGCTTAGGGGGCACCTGGCTGGCTCAGTCAGTTAAGCATCTGCCTTTGGCTCAGGTCATGATCTCAAGATCCTGGGATCGAGCCTCACGTCAGCTCCCTGCTCAGTAGAGAGTCTGCTTCTCCCTCTCCCTCTGTCTCTCCCCACCCCCACCCCCCGGCTTGTGCTCTCTCTAATAAATAAATAAAATCTTTTAAAAAAATAAAATATATTGCTTAAAAGGAAAATTATTTTACACAAAGAATTTTTCCTCGTGGAACATATATTGTTTAGAAGAAGTAAAAAAAAAAAAATTTACAGGCATTGCTAAAGTCTCAATTTTCTTCTTAAAATCCCTTACGGAGCAACGTGGTATAATGTGATCTCAATAACTCAGGCTCCAACTTAAGACCCCCTTTTGGTACTCCTTCTCCATCCAAGACTCATCCTAGCTCCTCTTTTTCCATCAGCAAATCCTGTCAGCTCTATGTTCAAAATGTATCCAAAGTGTAAACTCACTTGCACAACTATTACCCTGATCCAAAGATTTACCTGGATTATAACAATGGCCTCCCAACAGATTTCTCTGCTTCCTGATTTGCTGCCCTATGGTCTATTCTCTAAATAGCAGTCAGTGTTTTCTGTAAAAAACATAAGTTACATCATATCACTCCTCTCACTTAGAAAAACAGCCTAAGTCCAAAAAACTACCTCAAGACCATGCATGATCTCACACATCGCCCCCTCAGACTACCTCCTCCCCTAACCCATCTTGATGGATGGAAGGAATGACTAGAGATAGAGAATTATTCTACCATGTTACTATTTTATTATTTTGGAGACACCACCGCAGAAGTTGGCAAACTTCTTCTATAAAGATTCAGACAGGAAAGATTTTAAGCTTTGCCGGCCCACGCGGTCTCTGCTGGAGCTCTTCATCTCTGCCATGGCAGCACAAAAGCAGCCACTGCCTGAAATGGGCCTTGTCTGGAGTATTTACATCACAGACACCTGCAAACACTGTACACAGGGTTTTGAGTTCTCCCTCCAGAGAGCTGAGAGTCAGGAATGAAAAAAAGATGTCAAGCTTGGGAAAACGAAAGAATGATGAGAAGATGGGGGACCAGCCTGAGGAGAAGACAGTAAATTCCACGTTAGACATGATGAATTTGAAGTGACGGTGACCACTTCATCTCTGAACTCTCTTACAAGTGTTTGACCTACACAATGTAAGTCTCCATTTAAAGTCAATTGAGTATTCCCACAGATACCTTCTGAACTCACCCCTTCCTCTTCTCAAAGCCCTTTCCCCACTAGACATAAAACCAAACCCTGTTTCTCCTCCTACAGTACTGAATAACACCACCATCCTTGTAACACGCCCACCACCAAAAAGCTCCCTCAGTCACTATGAATTCTCCCGTCCCCTACACTCATAACCAGTGACCAAGTCCACTACCTAAGTATTTCTCCTATCCACCCTCTATTCTGTTTACCTACCATGTACTAAGTGTTTACTACGTGCTAAGCTTTAGCTATCAATGTTAATTCTCTCAACTACCTAATTTTACCCTTTCTACTCTGAAAGTGAAGACATTAAAACTTCATCTGCAGAAGCTGTAATGGCAGATAATAACAGATCTACCATTTGTGAGAATTTCAGTGAAGTCATCTTATAAAAGTGTTTGGGATAGCCACTTGTTACTATTATTGCTATGGCTATTATTGCCGCTTCTCCTAACATGTCCCCCCCAAGCCCCTTATCAAACAAGTACTCATCCTTCCATATTCAGCTCAAATAACACTGATTCTCTCCATTCTTTGTTCTCCCACTGTATACAATACCAACCCCTTCGATTTGATTTTTTTATTCACGTGTCTATTTCCCAACCAGATTTCAAGTTTTTTATGGGGATATTGTAGGCAGAATAATGGACGCCAAGAATGTTCATACCTTAATCTCCAGAACCTATGAATATGTTATGTTCCTGGCAAAAAAAGGACTTTGCAGATGTAATTAAGGTACAGACCTCAAAACAGATTATCTTGGATTATCTGAGTGGGCTCAATCAAATCCCATGAACCCTGAAAAGCAGAGAACTATCTCTGGCCAGAAGTGGAAACACAGAAATGATATGGCAGAAGGGGAAACCAGAGAGATTTGAAGTATGAGAGGGGTACACGGTTGCTGGTGCTAAGATACAGACACCCACATGTCAGCATTGGGAATGGGCCTCTGGGAGCTCACAGGAAGCATGAGGAGCAGACAGCTTCTAGAAGCAAAGACCAGTCTTTGGCTGATAGCCAGTAAGGAAGAGTTCAGTCCTACAACTGCAAAGACAGAATTCAACCTACAACCTAAATGAACTTGGAAGTGGATTCTTCCCCAGAGCCTCCAGTAAGGAACACAGCCCTGCCAGCACCTTGATTATAGCCCAATGTGACCCATGTCAGACCTCTGGTCCAAAGAACTTTGACATAGTCAAAGAAAGACAAATACCATATGATTTCACTCAGATGTGGAATTTAAGAAACAAAACTAATGAACATAGGGGAAGGGAAGGAAAAATAAAATAACACAAAAGCAGAGAGGGAGGCAAACCATAAGAGACTCTTAAGTATATGGAACAAACTGAAGGTTGCCGGAGGGGAAGGGGGTGAGAGGATGGGGTAACTGGGGGATGAGCATTAATGAGGGCACTTGATATAATGCAACAGATCAATCACTAACTTCTACCCCTGAAACTAATAATACACTATATGTTATCTAACTTGAATTTAAATAAAATCTAAAAAAACAAATCAAAACAAAACAAAAACCAAAGAACTCTGACATAATAAATTTGGTTGTTTTAAGATGCTAAGTTCGTGGTAATTTGTTATGACAGCAACAGAAAACTAATACAGGGCACAAACTATATTTCTTCCAACATATAACACATCTCTCTCCCATGGTAAATGTTCAATAAACACATGTGAACAAATTTAGGTGTAAATGTTTAGAAGACAGATGTCAATATGTGAATAGAGCTTAGGAATAAGTCGGGACTAAAGATTTATACTTGAGCATTCTCCATCAAGATAACAGCTAAAAACATGAGACTGTACCTCCAATGAAGTGCTTACTTTATACCTGGCACTATGCCGGGTTTCAAAGAATTAAATCATATAATGCATTCAACAATCCAATGAGATAGGTATTTATATTTTTTTTCTTTGTGACCAGATTTTTTTTTAATTAAAATACAGTTGATATGGGCGGGGGGAAGATGGCGGAGGAGTAGGGGACCTATTTCAACTGGTCCCCAGAATTGAGCTGGATATCTACCAGACCACTCTGAGCACCCACGAAACCAGCCTGAGATGTAAGAAGATCTGGATCTCTACAAGCAGAATATAGCAGGCGGTTGGTTGTGAGGTACCAAGCGGAGAGCCGTGATTCTGCGGGCAGATACCAGAGGATAAACGGCGGCGGGAGGGTACCTGGCCATGGGGATCCTACACCGCCGGTGAGTGACAGCCTCGCGCGCTGCGGACGGGCACAGACTCGCAGACCAGTAGCGTCGGGAAAGGACTTTAGGGCAGCCCCTGGGTGGAAAACCAGACCGGCGGGGTCGCGCGCACGCGAACCGCAGCCCCCCGGACAGAAACCGGAGCGACGGTCGCGCGCACGCGAACTGCAGCCTCTGAGACGGAAACCCGGTGCGCCGGGGTCGCGCCAGTGAACTGCAACCTCCGGGGTGGAAACCCCGAGCGGCGGAGTCGCGCGCAGGTGAACTGCAGTCCCCAGGACAGGACCCCAAGTGGTGGACAAACTGGGAGCGGCTGGTGGTTTTAGAAGCACAAAAGGCAGAGACGTGCCCCTACCTGGAGGCAGGACTGGGGGCCTTGCAGAGGGGTGCACAACCCAGGCCGCTGCAGTTTATAGCAACACGGACAGAAACGGAGACGGTGTGGCCTGGAGAGCTCACTGAAGAACAGACTGTGGTCTCTCTGCTCTGAGGCAGAGGGTTGGAAACGGTCTCTTCTGCTCTGACTCACGGAAGAGACGCGGAAAGCCGCCAGGGAAAGGTGCCAGAGAACAAAAGCCCCAAAGACTGATTCCCCCTGAGCCCATTCCCCGCCACAGGGGCGCAGGGCAACTCCGCCCAAACAGGGTTGCCTGAGTAACAGCATGGCAGGCCCCTCCCGCAGAAGACAGGCTGGAAAAACAATAGGCCAGCAACCCTAAGGTCCCAAGAAAACAGGTGCATCTTCCTTGGGTTCTGGTCAATAATTTGGACTCTATACATTCCCTCAAACACCCATCAATAGAATGACTAAGAGGAGGAGCCCCCAAAACAGAAAAGACTCAGAGATTATGACTTATGCTGCAGATTTATAAATGGATGCAGATATAACCAAGATGTCGGAGATGGAATTCAGGCTAGCAATTGTGAAGACAATGGCTAGAATGGAGAAATCAATTAATGGCAACATAGAGTCTCTGAGGGCAGAAATAAAAGGGGAATTGGCAGAACTTAAAAATGCTATCAATGAGATCCAATCCAATCTAGATAATCTAACAGCTGGGTTACTGAGACAGAAGAGAGAATAAGCGATCTGGAAGACAGTATAATAGATAAAAAGGGAAAAGAGGTGGCCAGGGAAAAACAACTCAGAATCCATGAAAATAGAATCAGAGAAATAAGTGACACCATGAGGCGTTCCAATGTCAGAATCATTGGAATCCCGGAGGGAGTGGAGAGAGA